CTGCTTTTTGTTTTTGTTTTTTCCCCCTAAGGGTTCAAATATGGCTCTGCCATTCCTTCTAGTCTTTGCTGCCACCGTGATTCTTATCAGACCCGAGACGCCTGTAACTAAGGTAGGAAATGAACATTACCTAAGGCAAAAGCTCATAGCTCATGCTATGTTTTGCTGATGTCGATCTCTTAATCTACACATGCTTCTCTGCTTACAGGCCCTACATCAGAACTCACTTGAATGTTGTGGTGATAAGCAAAGAGCTAACAGTTCATGCTCAAATGACACCCACTGTGAACCAGGTAGTGTGGATGTTTTTAATGTCTTATCACTGACAAACACTGGGAGAAAGCATATTGGCCTTATTACGTTGGCTACCACTGAGATTTGACCTGTTTGACATCATTGTTGTTATCAGTATACGATTAGGCAGAGTTAAAAGACTCAGAATAGTGCAAAGCCTCTGATTGTTAAGTATTTTGGAGATTTGTGCGTATGGTCTCTTTAGTCTAGTTGACCTAAATTATTCCCTATAATGACTCAGAATAATTCATTTCTGAAGTTTGGAAAAAGGCTTGCTGTGCATCGTACTTGTGTGTTAATGTTTAACTACGCATTTGAAGATCTCAGTGATTAAATGTGTATTGAACACTTTGTTTACTTAAGATCAATGTCGGCTGTACGTGGCCTTTGATATAAAATGAGTTTGACATCACTGATATAGATGATTTATTCTGTACAGTTGGGATTCAAAGATAAGTTAAAAACAATTTTGCCTTTTTGATACATGAATGGAAACAGAATGGGCTTGCATTTAGCAGCTACTTAAAGATATCTGCGTGATATATCGCCATGCCCTGGTACCTCATCGGATTATAGAAACTGCAGTTAATTTAGTGTATCAAACTGGAGAAAGACTTGTAGTTTGTCGCTACAGCACTATAAATACTCAAATCAAAGTGTGTAAAAATTCCCACTATGTAATACAGATGTCATTCTCTTGAATTTCACAGGATGTTTCCTGCGCGTCCTCGAGAACACCAACACCGTCTGCATATTATGCGACTCGGCAGCTGTCGATTTAGAAAACGTAACAGTCTGCACCTACAGTAAGGACTCTGGGCTCTCTGTGTGTTGGATTGTGTCGCGCATGTTTGGGTCGTTTGTGTTAACACGCCTTTTTCTGTGCTTTCTAGACTACACACTGGAGCGTAAAAATCATACAACTGTAACGACTGTTGTTCCTAAAATTGGTAAGATGTGCAGACTGATTTCATGCGGTGTAATATTCCTTGCATGGTTAGAAGAGACGGGAATGTTTGATGCAGTAAATGTCTGTCAGTTCATTTCCTGTTTTTGTGCTGTGTGTTTTTGTGCAGGTGGCCCTGGTGTGGCAGCCTCTCTACTTCTGGGAACGCTGTTGATCAGCCTCTTCCTGATACTCTCTGTCGCCTCCTTTTTCTACCTCAAACGCTCCAACCGACTTCCAAGTATCTTCTACCGCCGCAATAAGGGTGAGGAGCACTACACAGTGACTCACAGTGACTCACAGTGACACGCTTTTGGTGCTGGCTTTGATTTTGTAACTTTCTTTTTTCCCCTCCAAATGCAACATTATGTTTTTGTTCCTTTTCAGCTTTCATATTTCAACCAAGTGAGACAGTAAGTGGATTTTGACTTTTTGTTTGTTTGTTTTTTTTTAGTAGTAGTAGCATATTCAGAGTGTAGAATCTGCAAATCTGTTTTCAACTAAGTCTTTGTGCGTCAACTGTTTAACCTTTGCTCTTTTCCTTCCAGGCTGTTATGATCCCCTCCTCGTCAGGTGAGATGGCCACACTCTCTTTTGTAAACTGTAATCTTTGACCAGGAAGTATTATGTGAAGCAGCAGTATTTGGTATTATTCATGAGGATGCATGGCAAATTTTTCTATTTAAAAAAAAAAAACCTAAACAATACAAAAACACACAAAATGAGCTCAATCATGCTAATTGTGATTACAGTGAATGTGTCCTTCTGTTCCTCTAACAGATGATTTTATGACCCTTCATTTGCTCTCTTTTCCAGTGAGGAAACCCAGATATGTCCGAAGAGAGCGACCCTCTGCTTCGTCAACACTGAACAGTGCAACCATCACGACAACTTCATCTGCTCAAGTTTATAATGTGTAGGGTGGGGGGAGCAGGTAGGAGAGAGAGCTCAGGAACGCCGTAAGATTTACAAAAGGGCGAAGGAAGACAAGATGACTCTAATATGGATGGCCAAATTTAACTGTAGCTGCTTTTGCTGCATTCAAGTCAATAGGGCTGTTAATTTTTCTCTATGTATTGAGAGTATAACAAAGAACTGACCAGTATCAAGTAACTAACTTTCTGGGGCTCTGAACTGTCTTGTACTCAATTAGTTATTCGTTAAAAATGAAGCAGACACGCAGTCTAGCCGTCCCAGGAAAAATGGCTCGCATTCATGTGCAAGTTTGTCTTTTCTCGTGGTGAACGAGAGTTGCTCGTCTCATGATCATGCCTCAGTTTAAGTGGAAATGCTGTCGGCAAGCGTTTTTTATCTGCTGCGTTTGGTCAGAGAATCTGAATGAAGAGTTTGGTGAACATGTGGATGCCTGTCAGGTTTGACTCGTAAACCGTTCGTCGTGTTGACTTAGCGACAGAACCGTAACATGCGATAGACATTTTGTTTTTACTTGTGTGCTATTTATTTGCATTTTGTAACTGTGCACTGAGTTTTACTGCTTAGAATTAGGCTGACAGGTTAAAAGACGTGTCATCATAGTTTTATTTCTTCTCTGGTGGACCAGGTCTGTAGGCACTGTATTGATGATGGATTGTTTGATTGTATTTTGTACTTTTGTTGTTGCCATTGTATTTATTATTTTTGTAATCAGCCAAGGTGAATGTATTCCACGTGCATAACACAGAGCATGCATTGCAGTTACATGCTCTCTTTTTTTTCATTCCATGAGCAGAGCCACTCCTTCACTCTTTTTTTTTTTTTTAGAGCTGTGATCCTGCTGATGCATATAAAATAAGAGTTCCTGTTTTTTCCTGTCAAAATTTAGAATTTCCAAACATCCCCGTGCACTTTATACATCTGAGGTCTTCACTGGACTTTGGATTGACCTTGGACCTTGATTTTATTTTTTTTATTTTTTTTTCAAAGAAATCAATGTTGCTATTTAGTGTGATTGAGATTTTTTTTTCTTTCTGTTGCATAGACGGCAGCTCTGTAGTTGCATTTTGAACATTACTTGATTACCATTAACTTTGCCAAATGTATGAAGAATATGGCTTTGTCCTAAATGCTGTTACTGTGATGACTCTGCCATTATGAGCTTTAAATGGAGCCAGGAAGCATTTAATCACAATGCGTCTGTGCTAATAATTGGGTATTTGAATTATGACAAGTGGCCTTTTTACTGTAGCTCCAATCCTAAACCCTATCCAACTTCTACATTGTAGTTTTGATTCACAAGATTTAAAAGTTATGTCTGTCTTTAGCATGTGTGGAGCAATCTGAACCAGATAGAAGGCAGCAGTCATTCCATGAATATTCCTCTTTTGGCTTCATGTGTTTACTGTTGTACAAAAAACCATAAGCTAAAAACATGTACATATTGTTTTATACAAATGATGTATCGTTTTTGTAATGATGTACATATTCTAGTTTCAGTGCCATGAATAAATTCAGAAGATCTAAGTATTGTTTGCAGAAATAAAGCACCTTTCATAATCCAATGCAAAGTTGCCTTTTTTTTGTCTTTAGTGTTGTTTTGTAAACTCGAATGAATTCTATCCGCTGGTTGTCTTGAGAAGGGTAAAAGGTTAAATTGTTCAAATTAACTTACAAAAAAACATTATTTATAACATTGACAATATTTTTACAATAAAAATAAGAATACAGAGAAAGCAAAACCACAGAGAAAAACTTTAAACAATATACAATCTATATCAATCGCAGAGAGTGCAAATCCCCCTGAAGGGCAAAGGCTATACTACAACTTTACGATGTTTTTTTTTTTTTTTTTTACAACATGCTGATGTCAACCTTTTATTAAACATGCTAACTTCAGCTTTTTCCTAAGTTGTGTGGTCTATGACCTTGAGGCATTATTGAAAGTGTATTTTATGATCATCTTTACTTATTCTTTACAAACATTCCTATTCCATATGACTGAAGGTTTTTTTCTACAAACTGTAAAGTCTTTAATCTGTACAAATGTTAACATATGTTCGTGCAGTGGGTGATTTTGTGAAACTTAATGATTTTTAGTGTGATGCCACAGGGTGTCATACTGAAAAAAATAAGTGTGTTGTGGAACTCTTTTAATGCGATATATTACTTGATATGATGTCTTGGCATTTCTTTTCAAGGTCAACTTTGACCTTGGACGTTAACAGTGAAGGTTAAGGTCAAATGCTTTGCCATCCTAGGTGCTCGTGTTCCCCAAGACCTAGTATTTTGTTGTTGTTTCAAGGTGATCCTTACAAAATTTAGGGTAAAACTTTAGGTAGTTTTTACTCATTTTCATTTTTGGTGAAACCCTGACTCGTTTTTCACAAAAATTAAATCAGCAGAGTTGTTAGAAGTATCTACACATGTGAAAACTGCAAAAAGCAAGACTGCTGACGTTACAGCCAACAAAAATTTAAGAAATCAATCGAAAAAGAACACTATCATTTCCTAAATGTTGCCCATACAATCGAAGAAAGAATGTTAAAAATAATTTTCAAGATAAAAGACATTTTATGAAAGTTTTTATGAAAAGATTTTGTTTTTTGGAAAATAAATGCATGTGTTTATGAATGACAGTAAAAATGTTTGGATTTCTGTCGTGTTTTAATGTAATAATAGCACTCATATTGCTGTTATTATTATCAGGGTTAATATTTTGGGGTGCTGGAATGTCTCGTGCCTGGCAGTCGAGGGAAGGACGTTTGCACCAGGAGCTACATGTGACAGGACATACTACTCTATTTATAACATCTGAGTGCAAGGGCCCAGTCTGACATATGCAAGGGCAGATGGACATCGTAGCTTAACTATTCCTGCAGGAAAACGCAAAGCTACCTCGAAAATTGGATGATTTAAAAAAATAAATAAATAAATCTGCATTAGGTAAGCCTCTGTATATTTTACTAAAGCACATTTAACATAATACAGTGTGGTTATACAGCTCGTGGTTATGGATACTGCTGGTAAGATATTCTGCAGTATTGACCCACAATAGTTTATATTCTGATAATATTAATTATGACAAAAAAGTAATACTAATGGTATTTTACTGTTACTTAAACAAAACCACAGAAAATGGCAAATGTATTGTGTTTGACACATTGAGGCCTATCATAATCATTTTTGAGATTTTCCCTATGTTGAAAAGGCAAAACAAACCCAATGTAGATGTTTGTTAAGTTCATATGTTGTTCCCTGACACTGGGCAGCTGATTTGTTTTCATATCAGATTATATGACCTGTTTTCAAAGATCAGGGCCCTGGAGTATTTTGGGGTTTGTTATGGAGCTTGTGACTAAGGTGCTTTGGTGTTAGTTTGCCACTCTGAAGTCTCGCTCATTCATCAAACTTTAATCTGAGAAAGCTTTGCCCTCTACACAACGGCTTCCTTTAATGACAGGTGATTATAAGCAATGTTAAGCCTAAGACAAATGCACATGCTCTATATTTAACTCAAATGTGTTGATGTAACCATATCTGCTACCAAAGATACCAAGAATGGATTGTTATGCATCACTCAAAGCCACTTTAGTTAAGCTTATGCAAAAAAAAAAAAAAATCTGTTTAAGTATAAATATATTTTCTCCTTTTTTTAGATTGAGGAGCATGTGAATTGTCAGAATGGATGATTTAGATCACAGTATTCACATTGCAGAGGATGACTGGACAAGCTTCTATGAGGAGAGTGAGGAGTGCAGTCTGCAGCAGCCTTCACTTGCCTGCCTTGATGATGCCAGCCTCACAGATTCAGAGGATTCGGGAAACCTAAGCTCAGCTGTCAGCCAAAGCCAGCAAGACTCACAGCAGAATCCTGATAATGACAAAGATGGAGATACAAGCAACACAGCAGAATGCACTGAAGAACAAAGCTCTAATTTGTCAGTGCCACTTAATCAGCCGGAGGATGCTGCAACAAAATCTGAAGAGGACTCTGAAGTATATCCTAAATGTCCTGCACCAGTCCCAGAGGAGACAGGTTACAGCGCTACAAACACTCTGCAAACTGAGCTACTGAATAAATCAGAACATCTGACAAAAGATGGAGAAGTGCAGCCAGAGAGTGAACCGCTTTCTTGTCACCAAACAGGATTAAATGTGAACGAGCCAGACACGACAGAGAGGGCTGTAAAGGAAGATGTAAGGAGTGTTTCTGCAAGAGCAGAGAAAGAACGCTGGTTTGTGACAGTGAACGATAATCCCGCACGATGGCGAGCACGTCCCACCTCTGTAAAAAAAAAACAAAGACAAAAAAAACCCTTTGAGAGACGTCATGCGTGCAACACTACTCAGGAGAACTCACCTGAAAGTGGTGTAAAGTTAGAGATGAATGAAAATAAACCTGCATCTCAGGGAAGAAGGGAATCTAAATCAAACCAAAACCAAAAATCAGGCAGCAACCCAAATTATGAACACAACGTGGAGGTAGGAGTCATTTCAGAATCATCACAAGCGGCTTTAATATCTGATGAAGAAGACAATTTTCCATCACTCAAACAAAATATTCTTAAGCCAATGATGAAGAGAAGCAAAAGTGAACCAGACAGCTCAGCTTTGATGGCACAAGACCCACTCACGCATTCACAGATGGAGAATGAGGAGTGCGATGAGCTTGAAGACAGTGCTGAGTTCCTCTCCGTTTACAGTTATGATTCAGAAAGCTATTTGTCAGCAGCTGAATCAGTGGAGGAAGCTCAGCATCCTCCTCAACACCCAGAAATGTGCCGCTCGTTATCTTTGACATCCGGCTGCCAAAAAAAAGATGCTGACTCTACACAGGACAGACAAATGCATTCTTCTTTTCCCACCAATGTGTCAGCTGCCAGCTGTAAAGTTTATGAAGGTACCGGCGCTGTGCCTTCCCCGATGCATCCATCTGCCAACCAAAGAAATACAAGCATGCCAGATCATATCCCCCCATGTGAAAATGAAACACACAGCTTGATACTCTTGGACACACCTGGAGCCCAAAGACACAAAATCAATCTTTCAGTACCTGGTTTCTCTAAGGAAGAACAGCCCTCCCCTCTCTGTGTTCCTGATGTAACAGTAAAACCTTGCTCTGAGGAAGACTGCCCAGAAACATATGCCAAAGCTGAGGGTCACAGTCGACCCGTGTACGCCATCTCTGCTTTTTGGGATGAAATGGAAAAATTGACAATAAATGACATTTTGCAGCTCAGAATGAATAGAGGCTCCTCACCTAGAGAAACAGGAGAAGCCACGACACCAAATGTAGATGAATCCCCAACAATTCATGACCCTCTGGTTGACACTGTGGAGTATAATTTGTCTTGCAGCACTCCCATGGATATTTCAGACACAGCAGACTCAGACTATTTTACGCAGGCCGATGAATCTAAGCCAGACCAATCAAGCTGTGAGTTTTCCACCTCAGATTTTGAAGAGGAGTGCTGGCAGTTTGTTGGCGCCAGCAGGAACCCCAGCCCTGACCCTCACAGAAAAAACAAGCACAGCAGGAGTGACTCTCCATTCTTCTCAAACGATGAGTCCACATGCTCCGAAGGCAGAGAGACGCCTGTGCCTTTAGAGGACTTTGCAGGGCAGTGTTTTGATAGCCAGAAGCCCCACACTTTGTCCTCAAGCACACTTGCATTGCCTAGACAGTTAACCAAAAGTAAAAGTATGCAGAATATACAAACTCTCAACAGAAAGAATGCATCTTTGCCTGCTTTACTTGGTAATGATGAAAGTAGTCTGTTTTTTAGCAGATGTCAGTCTTTGGCAGAAAACACTGCTTTTAAACTAAGTGACAGCCTGGAAACACAAATTCCTCTGTCTTTTCTATCCAGCACAGACTTTCTTGATTACCAAATATCTTACCCAGAGGTGTTTGAATACTTTTTCACAGAGGATAAGGTAAACTCTGACTCCAGGCACTTCACTGTTTATGATCCAAAAGACATCTCCGTGCCTCCTGTCTTTGACTATGCTCTTTGTTCATGTAGAGATGAAATGTCTTTCTCTCCTCTTCACTGCAATGAGGAGAAACCCATCCCCATTTTCTCTTGTTCTCATCCTACCGTCAGAGAACTCACACTGCCCAAGGTGGGCAGTGGGTTTGCACTCAATGTTTTCTTGAGTGCAAACTCTGATGAAGTGGATGCCATCTCTCCCCTGAGAATTGTGTCTCATTCTTTCATTCAGGCCCACCAACATGGATCCACAGTAGAAGCAGCCGTGGGTGGATCTGCCAGCTGGAAAAGTTTACTGCCGATAAGAAAAATTCACTTCCATGATAAAGGGAGCATATGGTGCAGAGGATCTGGTGACTGGGTGTTTCCAGTTGACTTCGAGAAGATACCCAGCAGGAGAGAAGATCCATGGGCACCGGTGCTGAGTGTGGGAAGGGTCTCCCCGGTGTCCTCGCAGCTGTTTAGAGAGCTAGAAGAGCAGCATTTCATTTTGGAAACTATACAGACAACAAGTAAACATGAGCTTACGTAAAATCAGGAGACATAAATGTAAAAATGCAACATATTCAATTTCACTTTTTGCTCTTACAGGACACCAGGGCATCTTCTCCACACTGAAGCAGTCAGACATGTGTTTAGTCTGCATTGCCTTTGCCTCCTGGGTACTAAGATCCTCTGATCCAGAGGCTGCTGATGCCTGGAAAGCAGGTACGATCATTTCTGAATTTATATTCCTCTATCAGTCATAGTCAGTCGTGATGTTTTTTCCATTACT